TGTGACCCGTTTCCTGTGATGGATGGTGGTACAGGGTAGAGGGAAGCAAGAGTCCTCAAGTAGGGCAGGCCATTTGGGCGTTAATGTCTTGAGATACAAAATGTGAATTGTACATATTTTTTTAAAGAATATAAATCTTTATATTTTATCTGCAGGTCATGATCCCCCCAGATTTGAGATCAGATTTTTTTCTGATCTTATTTTATTTCTTTGATATTAGTTAATGACTTTTTTTTGTTCCTTTCTTTCTTGTTTGAGGAAAAAGAAGCATGCCCCGTAGGTTGTCATATAAGATTTGTGTAAGCATGCAGCGCTCAGGCAGATCTTTTGCGGCATCCTCCGTCTCGGTGTCGAATATTTTTTTATTGTTTAAGATAAGTATGATAATGCTGTGACATGAAGGATTGATCGTTATCCTCAATATGAGACGTGTCTCACTAGAACATGACTCACAAAACTGAACAAAGATTGTTGGAACCAAGGGCCGGAGGCAAGTTATGCTTGTGTTCAGCCGTTCGACTTAAGACGCACACAAGTCAAGTCCAGTTCTTTGGGATTAAGTGTTTCTGCTGCAGGAAAATTTTAAACAAAACAAACAAAAAAATGAACAAAACAAAAAATTTTGTTAAATAAAAAAATAATATTGTAGATGGTGGAATTTGTGAATTGTACTGAACAGTGTTGTGCTTTATCTAGATACTGTGGTCTAGATAAATATATGGGTGGCTTGTTAGCTATCCAGTATCTTTATCTGGGTAAATTATTTGACAATTTTGTCTCTATCTTCATCTAGATAAAATAAAATTGTGTTATCAAGTATAGGAAAATTAATAATGCCTCAGAGTAACAGTAGAATATTTATTTTTCATTTCCTTTGTTTCAACCGTAGCCATTTCATGTAGAATGTTTATTATCTGTCAAAGGCATGTACAACCTGTATATTTGTAGTAAGTCCTTACTAGAGATATATGAGACCCTTACTAGAGATATATGAGATGTTGTAATCCTTGTCACAATTCTGTCTGAGGTATTAAATGGTAGGTAAGAAACCATTGTCTTTTATCTAGATCAAAATATGGATGATTCTTGTGTTATCTAGATAATAAAAAACAGGTCGCTCTTGTCTTATCTTCATCTAGATAAGTTGGAAGTGTTATCTGGCACAACATTGATACTGAAGATGTTGGAGTTTGACAATTTAGTGCGAGCAGCTCACTGCATTGTGTGTGTGTGCCAGATCTCCCTCCCTCTCTGTTCAGTAGGGAAATAAATACTTTAAGGAGGATGAATTATTACTGTAAATTAAAAACATCGTAAAGCATTCAAAGAGTACAAATTCTGTAACAAGACCCTTAATGATATAATGGGTATTTTTTTTTTTCATGTTTAATTTTTGTGAACTTGGAGGTTTCAGCATGTAGCCTATATCAGACAAAAGTTATTATTTTTCTCCCTCTCCTTGTCTTTTTTTTATTTCCATCTTATTTCTTCCTCACTTTTTTATTTAGGTTTAAGGGTAAATTAAAGTGATGAAATTGCTACATGCTGAAACTTTTCCAGTGTTTAGGACTGATAGCATCAGTTTGAGGAGAATCTGTATTGTATGAGAGACTGACATATTGGCGTGAGAGATGCACCACAGAACACGGACTGCTACTGCTGTCATTTTAGCTCTTACACCATCGCTGCCACCTGCAGACCAGACTGATTGTCCCTAACTTATTTGTTCCATTCAATTAGGCTCATACCAATGTACATGTTAAGAAACAATATCTCTTCCCTTCCCTTATGAAACCTGACATCAAAGCATGGTTCATTCTTGACCTATGATGATCGTTTTTACACCATCTAGCACTTATTGCTGTGATATTCTAATCTCAATCGTTTCAGATATGATGAGCAGCTTTGTTGTAGAATAATATCTGGTGTGATGGTAAAATTAACCTTCACACCTCAGTGTTCTGAAAACACCGAAGTACTTTGGGTTTCTTCTTGACACCTCACTATTGGTATGTGCCTTTTATTCCATAATTAGGTTTCTGGCTGGCATGTGAAGTGGTGCTTAGCAGAATGTGCTTTTGTGGTGCATAAGTTTAGGTGACTGATCTGATTCCCACAGTATTTTAGTTGTCAGCTGTACAGTAATTAATGTTCTGCTTCTCTTAGCCCACAATCAGCATTCTATCTTGTCACTTTGTCCACCAATTGGAAAGTGAAACTTTTTCTTTTCCCTGACAAATTCCACTCAAAAATTACAAAAAACATTATGGAAAAAGAAATTAATATATTTTTAATGTTGTTAAACTTGTTTAACTTCATTTAATGTAAATGGCACACTTAGTATTCTGTTTCATTGAAGTATTTTATGCATCTGACTTTAAAATTTAATTTACTGCAAATTGTTTTAGCAAAATGTAACAGATATTCTAGCTGCAATGTGATAACAGGAACATAACAATGGAATGGATGAATTTTTAAATTGGTTCCTTTCACCGCAGGCAATTTACTTTGAGACAACATGAATTAATACCAGTATTGGGGCAAAATGCAAAATTCATCAAATAAACTGTCCCCCTCAGTTATCTGTTCAAATTGGCATTCTTAATTGTGGTGTAACTAGTTACTCCTCCCTTTCTTGTGCTTAAGGTACCATATATCATTCATTTTATGACAAGATGTCTGTATTTTACCATGATTGTGACTTTGAAATTTTTTTCTACTCAAGTTGTGAATATAACTTCTACCTTCTTGGATTTGAAGTACTTATTCTTGGCTTGTGTAGAATACCTAGGAAATTTGTTTAGCAAAATGGTATTGTATGTAAACATCACCTGTTTAAATTAATTTGTAAATTGTGAGTAAAGCATCAACTGGGACTCTAAAACAATTTGTCTTGATTTATCTTTCTTGTGACCCGTTTCCTGTGATGGATGGTGGTACAGGGTAGAGGGAAGCAAGAGTCCTCAAGTAGGGCAGGCCATTTGGGCGTTAATGTCTTGAGATGCGACTGATGGATAATAGGACCTGTGACGGATCTGGAGCATAACAGTTAAGAACTTAATTTATTATGAAATGTTCTATACTGCATTCTAGCCATGCCTGGCCTTTCTGATGTCAATCTGTTTTTGCGTAATTTTGGAAGTTTTATTGTAAATACTTTAATTGGCTTGCCTGCATTGTTTGCACTGCTAGTGGCTATCGGAAGGAATTCTGAACGCAATCATTCCTATGTCTCATGTAAATTATTTAGTTTGTAATACTATTTATGTGCGATCAGAATACTTCTGTGGTGATTGTTTCTCAATGCTTGCTAAATCCGTAGTCTGATTTATCTGACTTAAGTTACCATCAAAGAACAACTACCCTACCAACCAGCTCAGTCATTGAACCAATGGTTATCTCAGTCGCTTGTCAAGCTTTTGTCCTGTCACCAAATAAATTGTACACCAGACATTGATGTATGAATGGAGTAAAGTTATGTAATGTAAATATAATGTGAAACTATTCATATGCATTGTTTTGTTCTTAATCATTTTCTCAAATCTAAACAAAATAAAATTTGTGTATTATACAAAAGGCTTTAAATTTTGACCCTCTACCATATTTTCCTGCATTTTCAACGTGTGTTCGGTAGAAACGGCTTTATCGGGATCATCTAAAAAAACAAGTTAACTACCCACTTGTGAGCAAATCAAGCCTGTAGTTCAGAGGGACATAGAACATGAAACACAATTACAAAAAGAGGAAACTTGGCCAAACTTTATTAATAGCTTAGTCATAGTGGTTACAGACCCCTGATTTTCAATCAAAGATGGCATAATGAAATGGCTGTGGAAAAGCACAGCTGCTAACATCTGAAACAAAGAAATGGAAATTTAAGTGTTCAAGTTTAACACAGTCCCTCACAAAATGAGGAATACCACAATGAACCTTGAAAATCTGTAATTCTTACCTTAACGCAAATGACTGTGCTTAAACAGAACAGCACTCTACTTCAGTCTTCAGATTGAATACTATACACAAAATATCTGAGTGAAAATTAAAAGTTCTATCAGATACAGTGCCTTTATTGATTTTTTTAAAAAGCAAACCAATGTCAATACAAAAACTAGTGTCTCTCACCTGCACTTAATCAACTGATTACACTTTGCTGTACGAAGAAAGAATTAAAACCTTTGGCTATCGATTTATCCATACTTCAAAAACCTCCTAAAAAAAGTAATAAATTCTATTAGAAGCAGTAAAACTTTAAGTACAAAAAAGAGAAGTTATAAAAGGAATTTCTTACCTCACATAAAATGAAATAAGACAATCAAATTGTAAAATCTAGATAATATTTTTCAACATTATTCCACTTCAAAAGAAAATTTGTTGGCTGCTTCTCTATTCTCCATTACATTGCCTTGGGGACTTAGACCAGTGGAAGTAACTTCTGCTCTCTCCACAACATGTTGCCTCTGTCCATCCTGACGGTCTAGGTCCATGATAAGTATTTCCCTGTCCTTTCTTTTCTTTAGAGGTTGTCTATGCGCTGCTATAACAGCACGCCTCATAACTTCATCATTCATCAATACTTTCATTCCAACACTTTCTGCAGTGTCATGCAGGGCTTCCTTGGCTCTAGATGCCTGGAAAATAATAATCAGGGTTATAAGTATGTAATTGGTGAATAGGGAATTAAATTATATCACCACACAGATAAATCACATAACACACTTCAGTGGTTGAACTTTTAGCCGGGATTTGAAAATGCACGGTCCTGCCACTTGCCTGCATTCGAGCTGCATTCAAAGATCGTCGCGCTGCCCGCTGCTCGGGTGTTTCCCTGGCTCTTAGAGCAACCATACGAGCTGCATTCTGTGCACGGCGAGCAGCTGTCTGGTCGGGAGTTTCTCGTGCACGTGCCGCCTACAATCAAACCATTCATGTACAAACAATAGTTAGTAGAGTAAAGTTGCACTATAGAGTACATCAAAATTAGATCATGAAATTTACCTGCATGGCTTGTGCATTCCTGGCTTTCCTCTCAGCTGCCTTCTCTTCAGACTCTTGTCCTCGGAAGACTTCCATGCGAATGGCGTTTTGCTGCCTACGAACTGCACAGGCTTCAGGTGTTTCTCGTGCACGTGCAGCCTTCAAGTAAAGAGGGGAAATATAGAAGAGGTTCTCGAAAACTAAACATTATTTTAGTGTTCAATGTTGACTTGGATGTACCTGATTTGAAGCAGCATTTCTGATCCTCCGTGCCTCCACTGCAGGTCTTGGGGGCGACCACATTAAGGTAGGGATCTTGTTAGGATCTTCCATCAGCTGATTGCCCCAAATATCTGGTTTCATGCATTTTCAACATGATTATTGTCTTTTACCAATACTAGATCAATAATTCAAAACTTAGCACAGAAAATTAATTGCAGGACCGCATTATCAAAACCACAACTACATTGGTGGAATCACACAAATTGCAAAGTACAATGACGTGTTTATACTATCGATCAAACGTATTTATTAATAGGATAGTAAACATGTATACAACAATCACCAATCATAACCAAACTTACCAAGAATACTGGCAGCGCCTTAAAATCTTTAAAACGTCTCAAAACTATCTTAGTTGATTGAGAAAATGAATGAATTCTACGATATTGTAACTTTTAAACACTTCAAGCTCCCGCAATCTACAGAACAAAATCAATTGTGCGGTAAAAGTTTTGTTTACGAACGATAGTCCCAACAAGCGTTCTCCTCTCCTCTCTCCTGCCTGCTACCACCGTACCTCCCCTCCTCCCCTCTCCCTCCTCGAAATATTTTTCCCTTTTCTCCTACTTTTGACCTTCTATGAAAAATTCATTTCTCCTTCCACTCCTTCCCCCTTCCTCTACCCCACCCACCCGCGCATTTCTCCCCCCCCTCCCTACTTCGTGAGGAAAACAAATATCAGCCGACAACAGATGTCACACGAAACTTATTCCGAAATCAAGAGCACCTGGTTGAAAGGTGGCTTCAAATTTGAAAAGGGTTTGAACTGTTTCGTGCTGTGCCAATGTTTCGTCGGTTCGCTCGGGTTTTTAAAGCCACGGGAGCTTTCATTGTAGCTTCCGGGTAAGTCAGAGTAACCTCAATAAATCATGTTGAAAATTGTATCTACGATAAACAAAGCATTATAATTTTTAAAAATATATGTTTTAAACAATAATGACAGCTTGCCTTTGGGTTTTGGGAATATTGTAATTTTGGTGGCTTTTCAACTTCTAATTTTCTCATTAACTCTGTCACTTTCAGAGGTGTTTGGATTTGTTATCAAGTTCATTCAACAATCAATGTCATACACAATATTCTTCATACAAATGTTCTTGACTATCGTCAGAAGAAAATCGAATACATTTATTGGAAAGACGCAATCAATCAGTGTAAGTCTTGAAGCAACTGAAATGACTGACTTCGATGTTGAAATCTGTTAATGTATGGAGTTAAAACTTTCAGATTTATTAACATCAATGCAAGATGAACAAAATGTCAGAGGTAGTAGTAATTCGTCAGTCTTCTCAGAGGTTCTTCTGAGGTGGTGGATATCAGCACAGAAGACCTTAGCATGGCGTCTCCTGCACATTGTTAAAATTGGAGACAAATATGAAAAGAGGCGAGCTGTAAATGCTCTGGCCAACCTGAAACTGCTATCTGGTGAGTATTTGTACATTTTCCTGGATGTAAATAAAGTGCCGATTCTTGTCGAATACCCTATAATACATCTTTATTTACAAATCTTATCTAAAGAGTGGGACTATCAAATGTTAGCCCAAGCGTGTGATGCTCATATTGCCGTAGCCCTTTCACGAACAAAAGGTTGTGACTTACGATTTTTACTCAAGCGTCCTAAATTGTGGCATAACAAAAAACCACCCTCAGTTAAGGTATACACTATCAATTATCTCAATTGGTATCAGTATTAATTTGGAACTGTAGCATTTACTCTTATTTGTATTTTGTTTAATACCCAGAAAATTATAGAAAATATGATAAGACTCCTTCAAGCAATTGAGAATCAAAGTCATCATTCATGTGTAGAAAACTTCCTCTCTACTTATGAGGTAAGGATCTTATAAAATGTTTCTTCACCTTTTCCTTTCCATGTTGTGTCTATGAGACACCGTCTTACTGACAGGCTTCCTGTTCAATAAGACTTGCTTTAAAACAATTCCCACCCATAGCTGTTCCAAAATTGTTTTACTATACATTTGCGTTGCCATCTACACATAATTATTCAGTTTAATCTAATTGCATGCAGCGAAAAAAATGGAGAGCGGTAAGCAGTAGTAAATGGAATCCTTTGAACATTTCTTTCTTTTCTCTGATTGCTCTAAGTTATTTATCTATTTCATTAACTATGTGATTTTCAGCATAGTCATGAAGATTCACCTGGCACATCCTTGTCTCCACTTCTTGAGGATGAATTATTGAGGAAAGCCCTTGACACACTGACACACTACTGCAGTATTGATGACAATCCAAGAGGTATGTCCGTTTCATTTCATCTTCTTGATTTATAATGGCCAAGCGTATTCAAAATTATTTTTAAATACTTTGTTGATTTTAGGTGACCTCCTACTTGGTAGCTTGCCCATGTTAATGGACCTTATTCAAGTTGTTGAAAACGATAACAAAATGTTGTCAAATGTGTTATCTATAATTTCATATATATCAACCTTTCCTGATGCATTGCAAGTCTTTCATGCAACTGGTAAGAGAACCTATGTTTTGTTTGATGTGTTTTTTATTTTTTTTGCTACATTTTACCAATACTGATAAATAAATAAATCGCAGGTTGGCTCTGGGTCTTAGCTAAATGGAGTCGCCATACAGACGCATCTCTTGCTTTGCCATGTGTTAAATCTCTGGCAAATCTAGACAAGGATTCCCATGACAGTGTCTCATATCCGCAGAAGGTATTCCCTCTGTATCCACCATTTAGAAGCAATGAGGACCACAAAGCTGACATTATATTTGTCCATGGACTTTTGGGTACAATTTTTATCACATGGAGACAAAGGGATTCGGTCAAGATAGAATATCCAACCATTGGTAAGAAAGAGGTGCTGTACTTTTGTCCTCCTGTTCTTTTGCTGTTTCTGATGTTAATAGTTTTGAAAATTACCCTAGAAGACACACCTCCAAGGCCAACATTTTGGAACAACATTTTTCTTACTGTTGGATTTAGTGGCTGTGAGTAAAGAGCCACTGTGTGACGATTCAAGACATCATTCAGTCAGACTAGTTATTGTATATTTCATGAAGATCTCTCCCATTATAGCTGACAAGGTTGAAGACACCAAAAGTGAGACACCAGAGACCAGTCATTTGAATACCCAACAGTACAAGAATCAACTTCTGGACATTCGAAAGGAAGAATTTGAAATGCTGGGTAAAGACTTTGAGTATGTTCTTGCTGATCTCCCCACTGCTGCCTCCCGATGTAAAGAGGAACCATACTCTCTACCTGGGTTAGTTAAGGGAACACATTTTACGCATTTAACAATTTACGCATTTATGTCAACTTTTGCAATTACTTAATCTGTATTAATTTTTTTTTCCCTTAAAGGCTGAAGAGTTTAAAAGAAGAGGGTCTGAATCAAAATGCGTACTCTCAATGTTGGGCTCGTGACTGGCTCCCTCAAGATTGCCCTAATGTCAGAGTTCTTGGAGTTAATTACACTTCAACTTTGTCCCAGTGGTTTCCTAAGTGTCCAAATCAAAATAGGTACAAATTTTGTGTTTTATGAATTGAAGTCTCTTGTCTCCTTGTACACTACCCAATAAATCTAATCTAATCTCACCTGCCTAGAGCAAAATTGGCTGATCGAAGCATTGAGTACATGCATATGCTGCATAAAGTTGGAGTTGGACAGAGACCTATTATTTGGATCACTCATTCTATGGGAGGACTGCTAGTAAAGCGTATGCTGATTTCAGGCAAGTGCATAATGTCAACATCACCACACAAGTCTCTCTGAATTATATTTTAAATCAGTCCCCATCTTGTGAGAGAGTTCTTATCTTGTTTAGTTATTTTTTACCTGCATTTCAATTTTCAGCATATGAAAGTGAAAATAAAGAGCTTCATAACATTTTCCGTAATACAAAGGCAATAGTATTTTTCAGCTGTCCTCATTTGGGGTCAGAGCTGGCTGATCTAAAAATGCCAACAGAGCTGTTATTCTGGCCATCATTAGAGGTGCAAGAACTTAGATACAGTAAGTACTTCCATCAAATTAAAAAACAAAATGCATTTTATGAATATATTATAAAAAAGCTAGTTGTAACATTATTTCATTGCAGGGTCAGCTTCTTTGGTTGATCTCCATCTACGATTTCTTCAGCTCCTGGAGGTGTCCCCAATGACTATTCTGTCTTTTGCAGAAACTAAAGCCACTAATGTGACTGCCGTGAAGTGGCCAGTGAATTTTGTTAAACCGCACTCTGCAGGTTTGTTTGTGAAATATCAACAAAATATTGATTTTTCTGTATTTGCATTAGTAATGCAATGCATTAGTAAGTGAATGATTTTTTTTCCATCTACAGATCCTGGAGTTGGAGAGTTTTTTGAAATTCCATTGGATCACATAGATATTTGTAAACCTGTTGGAAGGTAATTTTTGAAACTTTCTTTTTAATTTCTAGAAAAACGTCACCAATTTAAGATTAATTCTAATAGTTTAATTCCACCATTACAGACATTCATTTCTATATCGTAAAATTATTAAATTAATCAGAGAAGTCCTACAAGATAACTGAAAAAAATAACACCCTGCCTGTTTTAAACAAGGAAAGGTCCATATCAACTTTGTTTTCTAGTCTGTGGATTTTTGTGTTTTGATTTTGATTCACGCAGTATTTATTTGTTTGAAACTTTTAGTCTGTAATTAGTTCTTTTGGGGGTATTTTCCCCTATGTGATACCACTAACAATTTGTCAGAGTAGTTAGTAGGTAATGAAGAGATCTGGTCAATTGACAAGAACCTGTGATGTTCAAAATGATAAATGCCAAGCAGTATTGATTTTAAGAAGTAATAGTCTGAGTGGGTACCTCTTAAACTTTGACTCCCAAGTAGATAGTGCATGTATACACTAACCCCAGGCTAAATGAACTGAGGTTTGGAAATAAATTAATCTTTATTGTACTTGTTACAATTACTGTTTTACAATCTGATATATTCTGTTGGTGTGTGCTCTTGTGCCAATTCTGTGTGATAATTGACTTTTTCCTATTAGCGTGTAAGGGTTGTTTGACTTGAGTTTTTTTTTCTTTTGTTTAATGATACAATCTTTCACTATGAAAACCAAGGTCACTTTGGCTGATATTTTTCCTTGACCAATTTTGAAACCAGAAATGAGATGGTATGATAAAATAGTCCTAAGAGAGAAACTGATTAAAAACAGCATATTGTCATGTTTTTGTTGTTGCTTTCTGTGTTTTTTTTTGTTTGTTTTTTTTTGGGGGGGGGGGATATTGAATGACATGCTAATAAATTTTATCTCAAAGAAATGTTAATTTTATTTATGATTTTATGAAAGAATACATAACCAATTAAGGGTAATAAAAAAGTCTTTGTACTTAAGGGATGTTAGCAAGATAATCCTTCACAGTTGCTGGGTCCAACCTCTTGAAGCCATTAGCATCACAGATGCCAACTTCAATGTTGTCTGCAGTAATCTGACCCTCAAAGCTCTCTTTCAGAGTAAGAATTGCTGTGTGAACAGCATCATCCAATTCTAAATCTTCACTGTACCTAAAAGAATGAAGATTAGATGAGTGATTACGTATGGGTTTCTATTTCAGTAATAATAAGAATAGGTATGTGTCACATTCATAATACCTTTTCTCAAGGAATGTTTTTCCATTGATAAAATTTTTGCCCATGGCTGTTGCTTTCCAAGCAAAGTAAGCACCAGATGGATCACATTGAAACAAGTATGGTCTATCATTGTCCCACCCTGCAATAAGAAGAGACACTCCGAATGGCCTTACACCTCTGAAACAAACCATAATTTTGGGAATGAGGAACACATACAAAAGAATTTTAACTTTGAAATAAACAAGTAATTTGTTCACTGAATAGTTACACATACCCAGATTGAGTATACTCTTGCATAACCATGGCAATACGCTGAACAAGTTGAGCAGTAGGAATTGGCTCATTGTACATCAGCTGATATTGTTGTGCCATCTTTCTTGCTCGCTTCACTAGAAGACGGTAGTCAGGTCCCATGCCTTCCAGGATGAGAAAAATATTAAATCACGCATAAATTTTAGTCTGGGTTTAGAATGAAAGTACGTAGTAGTTATAAATACATACCACTATAGACCATTCCAATATGATTGGTTATCATCTCCACTTTGTTCACACTATGTTCTTCATAGAGGATTGACTTGTGTTTGTTCTCTGTTGCAAGAACAACACCATTGGCCGCTAAAGTTGGAATAATCAATATTAAAATATAATAACAGTTTATTATTAAAGTTGACCCAGTCAAAATTAAATCAGCCTATGACTCAAAATGCTCGTACCTTTTATTCCAACAGAGGGAGCACCTGAAGCAACGGCTGCCAGCGCATATTCAATTTGAACCAGCTTTCCCGAAGGACTACGGAAAAAGAATTCAGCTCATTGCAGTGATAATCGGGAACAAACTCATATTTGCTAAGACGTGGTAATAAGTACAGCATTGGGGTAACTAGAAGATTTAGTGGGAAAATATTCAAAAAGCTGATGTTTGATGGAACGCATTTCATGAAATGGGACTAATAAAATAAAAATAACAATGACAACAAAAATTTTGACAGGCAATGATTCATCAAAGTACCGGTCGCTACGAAATGGGAAGGAAATTTCGCCGTTCAGAGGATAGTGAATTGGAGATGTATAAGAGGTTCAATAACCCATTTTTCTAACGAAAAGGAGTCTAAAGTCGAAAACTCTGATTTGATGTTAAAAGAAAGTCCAGGAAAGGATGAACATAACCTAACTTCACAGCCAGTTCACCGGCTCAGAAACAAGTCATACCCAATGCAAAATAACATTTAATCATGAAGGTGAAAGAAAAGTAATTAGCGACACTATTCCAAACACAATATAAGTACCTGAATGTGGTAAGTGAGAAACTATAACGTTCAGACGCCATGATTACAGTGCAGACTTCGGGTTTAACTTCTGGCGACTGAACACTGACTTCGTTTTGTTTCTTCTTCAGCACGCTGTCTCGTATGAGAAATTGGGTTTTTCTCTTTCATTCTTGATATCTCCCGTTTGTCGGTTGATTCATTTGCTTGTTTTGTGTTACCTTGACAATTTTGCATATTCAGTTTCTCAGCAATGGCTGCTGGTTGTTGTTGCAAAAGTGGATGGGTTGATGGTTAACTTTATGTAAAGTGTGAACAAAAGTATTTGCGATGCAGTCGAGTGTGTATGTTACCGCATCAGGCCCTGCGCTTTCTCTTTTGCTTTATGAGAATACAAAGACACCAGGGTATCAGGTAAAGAAACTGTCATACCGGCTTAGATTGTTTTGCTTGTCGTTTTACCTTACCTAAATTTTACTCACGTAACCTCACATTAAATTTCATACACTGTCTTCTCCAACAAATTTTTTATAGTCATTATTCAAAAGATTTAACATTAAACAATTCTCCTCGAAAAAATTGCCATTTATACTTAAGAAATATTTTGTAACAGCTCCCTCTGTCCTTCAAAATAATACCTTAGTACTATAATTGTTTATCTTTTCGTTAAAAGTCTGTGTTGTGATAAATACGATAATTATAAAGATTTTGTCATTTGCAGATGGGGTTTCTTCTCGGTGCTGTTGTTAACCAAGTCATCGATACCATAAGTGACTCGCAGATTAGAGTTGAAAAAACGGAAATAATTATTAGTGAGTTACTCATAGTTAATAAAATGTGTGTATTTCTCTTGTAGTTCAAATTTAGTAACTTATCTATGGTTTTACTAAATTTTGTCTTGCAGACATTAGCTCTATCTTACCTATTCCCTCATCCAGCTGTGTCATTAATGGAGCTGGAAAAATTGACAAAGAAAAGTTGAATACTATTGTAAAATCTGAAAAGGTAATAGGAGACTCTTCTGCAGGCTCATGTTTTCAATCTATTTGTACTAACTCATACTCTGACCACTAATAGTAACTTTGTCATCAGAACCAGCAGCTTAGGAATGGAAGTCAAAACCATGATATTGTTGGGTGGTATAGTTTTAAACGTAACTCCATTTTTCAAATGTCTATGAGAGAGCAAGTTGTGCATTTGCAATTAGCAGAAATGGCTAAGGAATTTATACCCGGAGGCTCTCCTGATTTATTTGTCCTTTGCCTACTGTCAAATACACTTACATCACAGGCTACTCATGTTTTTAAACATTCCTTCATGCGCTACCTCAGTGGAAAAAAGTTAGTATAAATGTTAAATGTAGGTTCTGTGTTTTACTGTTAGTAACTTGGAGGGCTCTAAATCCTTATGCCATAATTATTATGTTTGCAGTGCATTTGACATCATACCTCTACAAATTCACAACCTAGGTATGTCTCAGGCCACACAGTACAAAAATACTGCATGTGCCCCAGGCAGAGCAGCATTACTACAAGAACTCTTTGATCGGATCAGGTAAAGTACTTTCTGTATCTAACATCTAAACATTCTGATTTGTCCTGAATACATTACCAATATTTTTTTTCTATCTATTTTCAGCACTCACACTCCAGGGAAAGATCATATGCTACAAGTCCAATCAGAGCTCCAAGTATTGCTTAACAAACGTGTCCAAGAGTTGTCAGAGGCTGAAAACACTCGTATTACCTTAGAAAATGATGTAGATGCCCTTAGACGTAAATTGGAGCGAATTAAGAGTATGTACTTTTTATATCTATAAACCTCCAAAGTTCTGCATCGTATCTTCCAGGACTTTCAGTCAATAGTTGAAATTGTTTCAGGCAAACAGGGGAAAAGAAGAAGTATTCCTGGTGCCCAGAACAATGGCACTGAGACTTCCACCCAGAGCTATGAGCAATCCTCTGTTATGAACCAGAACAATCATAAAAGGTGCATTTCATCATCTTTAAAGTAGAAATTATGGCTTGGTCTTAAAACTTCATGTCACCTGTATTTTCTTTGTGTTGTAGAGTTATCACCAAACATGAAGATGGAGATGCTGTTCAAGATCATAGTGCTAACGTTAAGACAGAAAATCACATCAGTAATGATCGTACAAGTCCTGTGCTTGGAATGAACCAACGGCGTAGGTCAACCAGACCTCGGAGCCCTTAGACAAAACAGAGTGGCACCTGTTAATCCTTGTTCATTTCCCCCCCACTTGTGATTACCTATATTAATGTTTTATTGTGCCTTACATGTTTACCTTTTATTATTTTGCACAGGAAACGAGGTGCAAGGACAAATGTTTCGTTTCCTTTTTGGCACCTACATAAACCTTTCTTTTTGATAAGTGATTGTTTGAAAAAATAAATTATTATTCTACTTTGCCTAGTTCGGACTGGTACTTCCCCCTCCCCGACATGGTAGGATGAAGGCCGCCGCTCCTCGAGAGGACAGTGATAACGCCGCGCGGTTCACCTGTTAGTGGGCGACTGATAGGCGAGGGGGGGGACCGGGGGCGGGTGAGGGACTGGGGCGTCGCGACGCGTGTTGCAGTGCGGCTGCCGACGTCGACGCGCCCAGACGCAGCCCCTCACCACCACTACCCGCCCGGCCCGTTCAACCTCGCGAAAACCAGAGCGCCCTGAAGGAAACCCCCGCATCTCGCTCATTGGCTTTCGCAGACTCGGGACGCCGGTCAGTGTGCGGCCTGACTCGAAGGCCCAGCGGCCCGGCAGGCGGCGGGTGATGTCATGAGAAGCAGACGACGACGGAAAACGATCCTTCCCGTCGGCGGACACTCGCCATGCAACCCAACACGGGCATGCACAAGTTGAGGGTAAGCACGCTCGACTGGCCGGCCCGGCGGCCGGGCAGGCGGGGCGCCCGGCAGGGCGGGGGAGCGCGGCGAGGTGATTTGCGAGGAGGTCATATCTATTCCTCTGCTGCCGTGAAGGCGCTGGGAAGGCTCTCGAACGCGCGCTGCATGCCTGTGCCGCTACTGTCACCGCGATGTCAACATGTGTGAGCCGCGGTGGCGGTTTGAACTCGCGGGGAAAAGGGAGAGGGGGGATTAAATGTGAACAAATTCGGCCGTGTAGACCTCTGCCGGCGGGGCGAGAAAAGTGTAGGTCTAATTCAAGGGCAATGGGAATGCGGCGATGCGTTTACTCGGTATAATCTCAACAACTTTTCCTCTATTAAGGCCTGTGTCGGTCTAGACTGAGCGTAGCCTTCGCCAACGGCTTAATGACGTTGGGGTCCGGGGACGAAGGGGAATGCCAGTTTATTTCGCCCTTCGCCACCTCCCTCGAATTTATGCTCCATCCTCTCTTTCCTCGGCCCACAGGCTTGCCACTGTGAGTATAGACTCGTAACGTGGGTCTGAGCGAACGAGGCCCCGAGCTTAAACTGAGCTAGTTCTTCAGATAAAAACAATGGTGTGGTGCAACGTATGACAACCGGATGATCATTGTGTTGTTATGTTGTTTATATGAGTAGGTAAAGTTTAAGCAGGGGATTACGGCTCGTAACGCTTTTATCGTGACTTGCAAAGAGATAAGCAAATAAAGCACCACCCACAGACCTTTGAGCAACGCCCTCTGGTACATCTTCCCGGTCTTCCCTCCTTAATTAAAACCTCAACCCCCTCCACTCACCCTGCCCCCTCGCCTCGTCTCTCGTCTGTCCAAGCAAAACAAATGACGCCTGAGTGTTAAGTGAACGTTCTAATGGTCACGGAAAGGGGAAAGGCCAACAGAAGACAAACATAGCAAACTATACTACCGGAACCGTTTTCCATTCAATCTTTTAATTCCCTGCCCTCACCTCATAGTTCGCGTCCTGCTCGGTGCTGCTGCTGCTACTCACGCTCGCCCTGGTGGCCAGCTCGCTGCTCGTCGCCCGGTATGCCGTTCAGGTAAGCGACAGCAGCAGCGCAAGAAACGCGTGTCATTCGTGACACACAAACTGTCTGCATTTTCCATTGATCCTCTCTGTTGCCCAGCAGGCATCCTCCTGGTGGCTGTCGCTGCTGGCGGTCACGGTGTGTCTGCTCGGGCTGTGCACCTGGATCCAGTTGGCGGCCTCCAGAGCCGGCCGGTGGCGGGTCCTGCTCGCCCGTCAGATCGCCCTGAGCCGAGCACAGGCGTCGGCCAGGACGTTGCACAGGCCAGGACTCGGGCCCGGGCTGGCCCCAGACTTTTACAACAGCGTGAGTGGTGTAGTATTGTGTTCTTCAATAAATGCTCATCTGCCTACCAAAGTGTGTCGTTCCATTTAGACATTTGTCTTTTACAGTATGGTGGATCTCGATCGAGTTCGACAGGGATGGGGATCACCCACATCGCCGTAATCCCTCTAGAATGCGAGCTGGATTCTCATGTAGGTCCTTTTGGTTGACTCTTGCCGACGTCATGATTTGTTTACTTTGGAGTGAAAGCCTCGTCACAGTCAAGGGCCAATGCATATTCATGCTCACGACCTGTTTGCGTTCAAAATGATCGAAACGCTCTTAACGCATCTCTGACGCGTCCCGGGTGTGCCTGATCTTCGAGAGGCCATAATGAGGGCCTCACAGACCCAGAGCTGAAGATGTGCGACAGTGCCGGGCAACGAGCCACCATAAGTCAAAACCGTGCCAACGACGTGGTCACGACTCTTTCTTTTTAGGAAGCGACGGAGCAAAGTGTTGTATTGCACGCGTTATTGTAACGGCTGGAACGGGTTGTGATAAGGATCGAGATACTGATAGTTACGCACGTTAACGATACGGCCTATCGCGCTCGAGTGCGGCCTGGCCAGGGGGCAATAATCCTACATGTTTCACCTTGGCCGGCGAGCGCCTGATATGGTCGGGGTAGGCAACATGCCCAGCTCGTGTGCTCGACGGGACTGCCTATGCTCGACACCCCCGGAGGCTGAGATCCCCAACCCCGCCAAACCTGCGTTCTACCTTGTTGGAATTATTAATAATCGACTTTTCTTTGTCGTTCGCGTTCACATTTTCCATCGCTATTGTGTGGAAACACTCCAATCTTTGTTAGAGGCTGCCTCAGTCCGACCGCCTGATAATGAAGGGGTGGGCAACCCGCTCTGCTTGTGTGTTTGACGGGACTGCCTATGCTGTCACTGACAGGGGCTGAGAGCTCAACCCTATTTTGTACGGGCTGCTGGTTTTTGAAATATTTTTTTGTACGGTAGTGACACCGAGTTTGCTGCTGCAGATGGGGTACCGCGTGCCGGGCCCGCCGCCGCCGCCCCCGTATGCGCTCACCGACCTGCCCCCGAGCTACTGCGTGAGCACGACGGACGAGTCGCGCCCCACCGACGGCGCCGGCGGTGCGTGCCCTCCTGCCCCTGCGCCGCCACCACCGCCCGGGCCAACGGGGCTAGAGCAGCCCCCGCCCTACGCCGTGGCCATCAAGAGGGACCACTTGGTGCAGGAGGCGGCGGGCGCCACGCCCCCGTCCCCCGCTGTCACCGCGGCTGAGGGCGACAGCACTGCCGGGGCTGGGGACAACAGAAGGAGCACCCCCGTGAGTCGCAGGCCTGTCTTGTGGTTTTGATATTAAACTTTCGTCGATAAGGGCTTTTTAAACCGCAGCCGTGGACAACTACTAGTCAAGTGTTGCGAATTGATTTTTCGTACGGTAACAAATATCAGGTGTAAAAGAAACGTTGCAATTTTTGTAGTGTATGCGAATGCGAAAGTCCTGAACTTCACATATAGTGGTGGCATACACTGTTTGATCATCCAACGTTGATAAAATATCTTATCTAACGAATAATTTGGATATTGTGATAATCGTCAAAGTTGAGTGGGAGGTTATAGAAGTGATGCTGTGATCCCTGGTGAAAATGAAGGATTGTGAAAACAAATCAATAAAAGAGAATAAATGTAAACCACATCTGAGAAATATACGTGGTATATTTCTGAAATAAATAAAAGTTTGTTTCAAATTTACATAGACAAAAGTACAAACTACTGTATTTTCATATATTTTAAAAAATAGATTTTGAAAACAAGGGCAATATTTGGTCTGACATAGAAGCATGCTCTCTAATTTTAGAGTAGAGGACACATGAGTCGCAGGCTTTTGACTGAAGCAAGTATGTAACTGAACTAAATTTCAGAGATTATGGATACAGATAAAAATTGATGTAGAGTAATGACCCTATTAGTTAGCAGTGCTCTAGGATCAACTTTCATTTCCATTTGAAGGCATTATAAATGAAATTATTCAATTTACACTTACTTTGATCCAGAATTGAATCTAAGTATGGTAAAAAGTTTTGGTAAGTGAAAGACAAATTGTAGTGAGCGAAAGTAAGAATTCACTATGCACAACATAGTAGTTAAAAATTATGTAAAAACTAATGATACATATAATTTATGACACAATAAATAAAATAATTTGATATGTTTCTGGTCATACATACATGTCTTTTGTTGATTAGTGCACACAACAATACAAAACTTATTTGTAGTATGGCTGCACCAAAAAAATCACAGATTGCATTATTAAACAAATGTCAAAAAACCTAGAATCGATTTGAATGGCAAACGCAATTCTCAAACACACTAACACACACAAATACATTCATAAACAAAAACACATTTGATAACAAGTATAATACCATTCTTCTATTAGTTGCACTAGATTTAAAAGCAGAAAACTAATTTCATTAAGCAGTCTAAGTTATGTTTGTACCTAGAGAAAAATAACTTTTGCATGTTTGTGAAGCTACTTTCCACCATGATAATGGTGTGAAAGTAAAAATCATTGTTGGCTCAAAACAAATGGAAACTTAAAGCTATCATTTACCTGGTGACTTGGTAGAAACTGTTAAATGGTGAACGGAAGATACTACACAGCGTTCACAACATAAAGGACAGTTAACTATAATGGAAAAGATGGTGATTGAAGGGATGCCTACACCCTACACAAAACTACTAACAGTTTCATCTAAGAAAATAGGACGACGGGGTTGCGACGGCGGTGGCATGGAAGAGACAGTCTCCTGCCGGTTTGTGATTTCACCAGCAGGCACTCTTGGTGGGGCTGGCGCACGCAAGTACTTAGGTTTAGGGGGTAGAGGGGGTGGGCGAGGTGTCTCAGGGAGATGAGACATGACCGGGAGGCTTGAGGGAGAGTGGTCACCCACTGAGCAGCCTGAAATTAAGAGAAGACAGAATATAAGATTAGATAGGAGATTATTTCACACCTTATTTTTTTGTTCAAATCAATCATGTTAAAAATAAAGTAAAAAGAAACAGAGTTATTATCAGACATCACCAGTAACAGAAAAAACAACAACAACAATTCTAATTCAAATTTTACTTTCTGCTACACACCTTGAAAGTAAGTCACACTTAGAATGCAGAATCACACCAGGAAACACAAAATAACACAAAAATACCAACATTCAACACATTCGACTTGAATTTCAACATATACTGCAAGCAAGTGTGGTGAAAAGGCAAGGCCAGGGCAAAAGGCTATGAATACTGACCTGAAAAATAGTTCTGAGCCTGCCGGGGGGAGGGTATCACTGCATCAGAGCCAAAGCTATGATTCAGGAATCCAGATCTATATCCCTGCCCTTCGTGGTCAGACATGACCACTCGGCACATGGCGTCCATGGAGTGGACATCTGGCTCACTCCCAGCGTTGCAGTGTCCCACCCCGAGCAGGCTGTCCAGGTTGAATGTATGACACGCTGTCAACACAGGGACGTCAACCCGTCAGCCGGATTGTCTGCCAGAGTGTTTAGTAAGTTAGTAAGAGCCACCAAACCGAACCCATGCGCCACACATTCGCAGTTGCACCGTTTATAGAAAATTTGAAGGAGCCAAGGCCAAAGAAGTGAATTTTGGTTGTGATGTTTCCTTTCCATTTCCTAGGGTTCTTCTAGGGGAAGGGTAGTTTCAATCCCCAAAAAGATTCAAGCAGGTTTAGCTGATAGACAGTTAAAGTACTCCCAAAGCAACCGAAATACAGAGGTTTGGGAGAGTTGTACATAAATGATATCTATGTTGCAGGACAGTGATGATAAGTACTTGAGAATGTTAGGAATATCTGGTTGATCCAGGAATTGCAGGGAGCGGATGTTTGCAGAAATTGTAAATATTCCCTGGGAAATCTTAAATAACCCTACCCAAACAGATGCTTTAAACATTTAGGGCACATATTAGTTTTAATACTAAAGTAACCTTCAAGGGTAGTTAGCAGGGCAAGAAATTGAAATAAGTTGAAGAAAGCAGGAAAAAATGCCAACGCGCTTACATTCATATTCATTCCACAGAGATCAAATAAAATAGGGAGTTAGTCAATAACTTGTTACATGACATAAATATTACATAAATACATGAACCGAGCACATTTTGTACAACCATAGTGCAACATTCAAAAAATGTTATTTTAATAGCAGTTTTGAAAAATGATCAAAATTGAAGGTATTCATAAGCTTGACTTTGAAGTGCACTCAACAATCCATCACACTTACCATGATTATGGTTCACACCTGAAGACCGATTGCTGTCACTGTTTTCAGTTACATTTTGGGGCTCTGGCCCTGAAACACTGTTGGACCGATCCCTACGTGGCTGAAGGAACTTCTTTAACTTTTTACTGCTCTGAGGTGCATTTTCTTTATCCTAAAATGAAAATAAGAAGTACTGTAGTAATTTTTTTTATCAATAATTACAATATGTGCATTTGGACATTTTAATCACCTTTAAAAAATCTGGCAGTTCAAAGTTGATTTCCGTTCCTCTCTGATCTTCAAGGCGACTCCTTTGAGCTCTCTTCAACCCCTCATAAAGTTCTAAGGAAAATAATGATGACAGCAGTCAGGAAAAATGTCTCAAGCCAATAATTTCGAATTTGAAAATAATGTCTACTATTAACATAAACATACCATCACTTTCTGATTGACCTAAAAGTTTTGCACCAGGTTTCCATTTTGCTATGAGAGGTGGTTTGGTGGTTGGAGGTGGTGGTGCAGGCTTTGATGGAGCTGTTGATCCAACACTGCATATTGTTGTATTGGAACCCTTAGCACTTCCCAGGCTGCCAGAAAATTTTTTGCTGCTTTTTCCTCGGAAATCCTGAAAATTTTGTTATCAATACATGGAAACTCATATACGTTAAAGAAGGGTCATTAGGTAGGAACTGGAAGTGGCTGGACTCACTTTTGACTTGTCATGGTAGGCAGAATCTCTCCTTAGGAAACGGCCAAATATGCCAGATGAATGCTCTGAACCCCAATCATCGGACTAAGACAGAGTACAATAAGAGTGTTAGTCAATTTGGGCAGAGTGAATTTTGGAGAAAGAAAGTTAACTCACTCGAACAGATCCTTGGTCTGAAGCAGGGCGAGTGGAGGGAGCTGCTTTTCCCTGAAGTAATTCCTCAAAAACTCGATTTGTAATTTCATCAAGGGAAGCAGATGGGACGGAAGGGGCGGGACCAGGAGGAGGAGGTGCTGCCATAAGAGAAGATGTGCTGCTGATTGAGTGATTTAGTGGACCACCGTTCAATCCCGGAGTCATGTGTACACCTCTGTTAGCTGCAAAAACATAAAATTAAACATGAAACATAAGATATTGTTATAACACAGATACAAAATGATAAAATAATCACAACAAAGAAGACTGTTGTTTGCTTTTCATCCCTGAATTAATGCATACCTTGAGATATTTCCTCAGAGCTGCGAGTAAGAACCTGCAACCTCTGGTTATCCACTGACGACACAGGGGTACCAAGACTCACCATCTCACTTCCATTAATCTATAAACAAAAATAGGAAAATCAGTTCTGTTGAAAGATGTTGTTTTATTCAAGGGAAGGCTAAAGAATGTTCATTGATCATTAACTTACCATACAAACAGTGACTAGGTGTAAACGGTACCCATATTTATGTAACACAGGACGCAACACCTCTCCTAATGTTTTACCAGGTCTAGATTTAACTCCAACAGTTTTACGGTTTGGGAGATCCAAACGAAAAACCACTCTGGGCTCAACTCGCACCTCTTTGTTGCTAAGGATAGACGATACTTCATCTGGAGCAACAGCCTTGGGATTGCTTCCAAGGAAAACTTGGAAATGCTGATAATGGAGGCCTCTCTTCTCCAACAGTCTTTGGATTAAGTCTGATACAGTTTCATTGTATCTAGTCTGAACAACAGTTGTGGCCCCGTCCGGCAGGATCACACGGCAAAGTGAAGAGTTTTCCCGTTCAGATGTATCTCCAGAGGTGACAGACTGGGAGATAGTACATTAAAATTTATACATTAATGTTGAGTTTTTGCTAAAAATGTGTAATACCAATCATTGATTGGCAATAACATAATATCTACTCACTTGTCTACTGAGTGAACCACGTAATGCAAGGTCCCATGATGCTAATGAGGAACGACTACTGGTTACATCTGACCTAATAGACACAGTGTCATATTGTTCTCTTCTTGTTCGTAATTTTGAGTACTCAGACTCTCCTCTGTCTTTTGATTTTGATCTATTTTTTCGGTGCCATGGTAGTAATGATTTCCTTCGCCTATCTTCCACATCACTTCTACTTTTCTTCAACTGTAACACAAATAATGAATTGTAGCAAAAAACACAACAAAGAATTATAAAATACTCTGATTTTAATTGTCATACCTTGTTTGGCCGATCAAGTTTCAGCCCTTGATCTAATTCGGTGCTACCATTGAAAGGCAATTCTTGACCAGATATCTCCCGGAGGAGACACTCTTTATACAGTTCCGACTTTATAAAACGAGGATAGCTATCAAATTTCATCAAGTTAAAAATCTGTTTCTGAGCCTAAAAATAAAAATCATGTGAGATTAATTAAAGAAAACTCTATTCCTCCAAATCATAAAAGTAAATTAAACAACCAAAAGCGCATCCCTTCAGTAAATTTTTAAGCTCAAAATTACCTGCAAAAACAGATCTGGTAGAGCATTTCCCACCTGCTCTTGAGTAACTTGTCTAGCATGGGAGTCTACATTTACAGGTTCAGGTGCACCAAGACAGAGGTGCTTATCAAATATGGCCTGAGCTTCTGACTTGCGTTCAGCAGCATCCTCTATGTGACGATATCGCTCACAAGCAACCCAGAAATAAATGTTTTCATGTGAAAACTCCTTCTTAAGAAATTCCTAAAAACACAACACAAATATTCAAGATGCATTCTGAAAGATAGACTCATAGATAGACATCATAAAGAACTACGTACAGCAAAAGTATGCAGTCCTGCTGGGTCTTCAAGTAGTCGTTCAAAGGAAGCTGACCATGCCGGGACACCTCCATTTTCTCGTGTGCCTTCTTCCTCCTCTTCTTCCTCTTCACCTCCAGCCCCTTCAGGAAGTGGACCATCATCATTCTCAGGTTGCTGGAACAAAAAATTTGCGTCTTATAATTTACTTTTCCTGACTTCTTAGGACACAAATCAGCTAGTCAGATTTATGTATTTTACACTAATAATTTTGCATGGATTTATTTTTCACGCAAAGTCACCCAGTCATAAACTGAGATACTTACGACCCATTCCATGAGATGACTGGATTCAAATCCATCGAGCCACCACATGAATTGTCGACTAAGGACGTCTAATCAATCAGAACCGTTGGCCCTAAAAAAAAGTTAGGATTGCTCTCGGGTCCGTTGTCTTAACACTTAAGTGGTTCAAATCTCGACGTGAGAAGTCTGTCCCAACGCGCAGGGCCCCCGCTCCCGGGATCGACGGATATGCTAGCGAAATGGGTCGCCATCAACAGCAAGGATGCGCAGTGTACACTGTACAGCCTTATTGGTTTGTCGCCAACCGTATCCAGGCAAGGGAGCGTTCGCAAAGAGTTGTACCCTTTATCGCCAGCCAGGCACAAGGCGTAGGCGCATCACCAGCCTACTGGGGCTGCGGGGCGTGAGAGGAGAGGAAATGATTCAACCTACGGGACAAGCACGAAGCGCGACACGCGAGATGGAGGCAGAGGGGAGGCAACAGCGCAGGTCGGTAAATCTAAGCGCGACCCAGCGAGGGGAATCCGCGGGGAACCCAACAGCGGAGCGGAAGGCCTCGTTTTAGCCATCCCGTGCCCGTGCAGGACATCTCCACCCCGCCCCGTGCCTGCCGCCGTGCGCTCCTGGAACATCAGCCTGCGTCAGCCTGCGTCAGGCGAGGACGACGCTGCCGCCCGGCCGCGTACAAATTGGAGCTGAATTCGGACTAATTCGGAACGCTAATTGAAGAAAGAGGGGGGGGGGGGGCGCCGCAACCAGGCAGGGAGAGGCAAGGGGACGACGGCCGCCACCGCGCTGGAGCCGGCTGGAGCCGGGGCGGTAAAGCATATTTCAAATACGCCTCCGGGCGGAGAGCACGCTCGTTGTGGTGATGGGTCCGAAAAACAAGTTGCTATACCCAAGGAGGAAGGGGTCAGGGGGGAAGGGGTGGAAAGCGGCGACATGTTCACCACGCAAATAAAAGCCCTTCTCTTTCTCCTCCCTATCGTCGAATTCCTTTGACAGTGTACACGAAATTAACGGCGGGCCATCGACACACACGAGACTCCGCAGTAAACAGAGGGCCTGTTGTTTGGTCCAGCCCATGCGGGCGACGATGGGTGGAGGAGGGAGGGGTGAGGGAGGGATGAGCGGAATGCGGGGGAATCAAATGTTCTCGATGGGATTACGCGCAGCTCCCCCGTTCACGACCCCGTATTGCTCAACCCGCGGCACCCACTAAAACTTTCCTTGGCATATTTCGCTCCCCATAAGAAAATATTTAAAAAATTGAACTCTTTCTCGGCTGAACCATACACCAGTGCCGTTGGAGGGGTGGCATTAGAAAGGTATCTGCGATAAGGGTAGGGAGGGGGGATGCTGGAGTTACTTCCGAGGGGATTCAGCCCCCCCCCCCCTTTCTAGACACCTCCCTAATGACCGCATAGTCACGCACTATTCTCCCAGGCGGCGTCTCAAGTGCAGCAGC